GGGGGTGGGGGTGGGGGTGGAAGGATTGCAGGATATACCCTTTGGTTGGTTGATGATGCATGGAGGGGATTGTAACCATGGCAATGAGACGATATATAATAGTATGAATGTAAAATTAATGTTCTCCCATGTAAACTATCACATAATTCACAATAAAACATTTAAGAAAGAAAGAAAAGAAAAAAAAAGTAAAAAAAAAAGAAAGAAAAGCCAGTCCAACCACATTCAATAGACTTCTGTGAACCCGGGTGGAGGCCTGGTTGGCCAGCAGTTTGACAAGACCTGGGGACTCCTGGGCCCTGAGTCAGTGACATAGCCACCGAGGACTAGGATGGAGAATGAAGTGTCCAGCTGATAAGAAGAGAGGGCATATGCACAAGAACACCCACACTTGTAGATAATACCCACTTGACCTGGCTTCAATGGCTTGATGACCAGAGCTCAACTAGAAGAAGAAAGAAGAGGAAAAAAAGAGTAATTTGATACAATTTGATGAACTTGACCTACACCTATGGATGCTGTAGCTCAAAAGAGGGAACAAATCTTTACAGTAAGGATCATTCCCACCCCCTTGATACACAGGGTAGACATGGATGGTCAATATGGACATTGGCTACCCAAAATGGTGGTGGTGGTGGTGGGCCTACAAAGGCAAGAAGTGACTGGCTTACAAGCTTTCAAGAGGGAGACTAAATCCAGAGGGCACAGAGGAAGGTAGAATCTCTATTTAGTATCCAATCTGTCTGGGAAGGACTGATGAAAGGAGATGGGGATATGTCTCTTGTGGTATAATAGTGAATAACTGTTATCAGGACTGACTGTGAGGGTTGGAAATGTAAAGGTAGATGTTTTGTAGCAAAAGGAGGGGAGTGGTTGACTTCACAGTTCAGGAGCAGAGGTCCCTGGGACCATCAAGGGAGAAGAATGGAGAGCAGGACCCTACCCGGAGAGACAGTGACATCAGAGATGGAAGCCGAGACAATGCCATAGAGAGAAGGGAGTGGCTGGGAACTCTAGAGCCAGAGAGGGAGAGGGGCTGTGCACTGATGACCAGGGGGCAGGCTTGCTGGGTGTACTCTTTGGTTAGCGGATGATACATGGAGGGGATTGTAACCATGGCAATGAAATAAGATAGGATGAATATAAAGCTAATGTTCTTCCATGTAACCTATCACATAATTCACAATAAAACATTTAAAAAAAGAAAAACAGAAAGAAAAGCCAAGAGCAGAGCATGGCCTTTGGCTCTGAGATCCTTGTGCAATGTCTGTGGTGGCAGAGGCAGCCGCGTGAAAACAGTGCAGTGGCTTTGTGGCTCATAGACTGAGTGGAGTGCCTTGTGGCAGGTGGCTGGCTGGAAGAAATGAGTGCCCTCCTTTCAGTATTCATCCGCAGCACTTAAACTCTGGCAACTCTTGACTAGCAGGACAGAGGCCAAAGCCATGTGGCTGAGAGGTAGAGGACAAGAATGAGGCCTGCCTAGAGCATGGCTTAGAAGATGTGTTCCTGATTTCACAGCTTCTGCATCCTGAGTTCTTTTTGATCCTGTTCACTTCCCTCATAAACCCCATAGTCCTAAATATTGTCTGTATTGTGTGGCCATTGCAAGGGATTATCAAACCAAGCAGAGAAGTAGAGTGCCATGGAAAGGGCTGTTGGCGTCATACTAGGGTAAAGACAGAGGGTGGATGCATGTCTGACCTCATAGGAAATGGCCTTCAGCTGATGTAGAATTTGATTGTCTTTTCCCCCTGTAAAGCCAGAGGTTGGACTTGGCCCCCATACCATTTTTACACATACATACTTTTTTCTTTAAACTGGTAAAGTGCCTCAAAATTTGGAGTCATGACTTCACGGTTCTGTTCCAGAGCAAACCACCCAAACTTGGTGTAACCACCACATTATTAAGCTTATTGATTCTATGGATCTGGAATTTGGAAAGGGCACAGTGAAAAGGTTTTGTTTGCTCCCTGATGGCTTCTCAGCTGAGAAGCCTCGAAAGCTTGGGTTGTAAAATATTCAGGCTTATTCTGAGGTTGGTGGTTGCTCCTGGATGCTGTGGGATGTCAGCTGGCCTGCAGGCTGGAACACTCATATGTGACTTGTGGTTGCTTGGACTTTTTCATAACAAGGTGACTGGGTTCCAAGAGCAGGTATTTTAACAGACAGGAATTAAAAGCCTGAAAACTGACACTTAATTAGTTACACTATATTCTACTGGTGAAACAATCACATAGCCAAGATTTAAGGGACCAGGACTGAGATCCAACCTCACATTGAATGTCAAGTAATCTGGGGACTAGGTCTAAAACTTTTACAGGTGTTAGATTTGGGGCTTGATCCGCCACTCTGGGCCATTTAGCGTCACATAGTTAATCCACACTTTCACAAAGCCTCCAGGTTTCTCTCTTGATTTGTGAAGTACCCTTAGCTAGGCTGATATTCAGATAACCCTTCTTCCCCCCACCCTCCTGCATCCTTAGTGACCTCCATACTTCACTCCTTCTTTCTCCCACTCAGTTTTGAGGCCCCATGAAAACAAATTCTCTTCCTGAATATAAGCTAAAGGTCTTCTAGGGCACTGATAGGCTGAGGTTGCAAAAGACGACCCACAGCTTTTTTTCTGGGGATTGAAAAGGGGGGGAGAAAGAACAGAGAGCAAGGAAGAAAAGGAGAAATGGCTTTGGTTGACCACCAAGTAGGCTGACGTAGCCAGGAGATGGCACAGTGGCCTGCTCACGGAGGGTAGTGGTTCTTTCTGCACAAACCACCAGCTGGAGGCTATGTTCAGCCTAAGCCCAGGCAGGAAGCCACGATGGGAGAGAATTAGGAATCCCACCTACAAGAAGAGTCTGAAAGGTTAAACTGTAGAAGGAAACAGCAAAAGGAGAAAGTTACAACTGCTTTCCTGTGTATGACTGCGTTATCAGAAGGACAAGAGGTAACAGAGGTATTCTGTGCTGCTCCAAAAAGCGTAGGAAGAACCAACAGGTCCAAGTTTCAAGGAGGCAGACTTCCAGAGGCTACTTTGTGGGAGTCTAAGTGAGAGACTTATGAATTGAATTATGGTGTTGGAGAATACTAAAAGTGCCATGGGCTGCCAAAAGAACCAATAGCTCTGTTTTGGAAGAAGTGCAGCCAGAGTGCTCCTTGGAGGCCAAGATGGCCAAACTTCTTCTCTCATACTTTGGACATATTGTCAGGAGGGAACAGTCGCTGGAGAAGGATATCATGTTTGGTAAGATGGAGGGTCAGAGAAAAAGAGGAAGACCCCCAACGAGATGGATTGGCCAAGTGGCAGCATTGATGGACTCAAATGTGGCAGTGGTAGTGAGGTTGGCTGGGGACCGGGCAGTGTTTCATTCTGCTGTGCATGGGGTCGCTATGAGTAGTTACCGACTTGATGGCACTTAACAACAAGTAAGAGATGGTCGTGGCTTGGAATCAAATGGTGATCATGAAAGGAGACTGATTAGAGCTATTTTGGAGGACAACTGAGAAAGACAGGTAAAGAATTCGATGGAGGAAGGTAAAGGTTAAGAAGTATGTGTTAAGGACTTGGGGTTTTGGATTGGACATTCAGAGTAACTTCTAAGTTTTCTCACAATTCATAGATACTACATTTCTATGAATTGCTAATTATGACAGGAGTCTTTGGAATGAGGAACAAATGTACTCCTGTTTGGAAAGAATCCTTGTGTGAAAGTTGAGAGGATGCATGGCTTAGCCTGGCCTACGTGTAGGTTAAGAGAGGTGTTTCACAAGGTGCCTACTCCACCCTCAGCCTGTCAGAAAACTCTTCCTTCACTTGGGCCGAAACTGTCACTACACTACTCAAAGCAGTCAATCTCTCCCTAACTCCCTGACCTCACCAAGCCACCCAGTCTCCCAATTACTAAGCCTGGGTGGGGCTGGGGGATTATTTGTACACTTTGGCTGCTAGTAGACAAAGAACTAACCTGGCAATTTCAAAGCAGCTCTTGGGAACCAGTTGATTCAAACACAGTTACTGAGGCCATCATTAGAGGACAAAAGAGGCTGGGAAAGAGGTCCCAAAACTATGGTCTCTCTTTTCATTAAACACATGGGAGAAGTAGTGTCTCCTCTCCAAGGGCATAAGAAACGACAGGTGTCAAGGTTTCTTTATTCCAACACAAAGCCATCACACTAGGCAATTCCCCATGCCACCCCTTGGAGGCCAGGGAATGGGAGCCTAGAAGGAATGATTTATTTTGGTCTTTTCTCCAGTTTGCCTTTCCCAAGTGGTCATGTCACTGAAGTGGGGAGTGAGACGCGGTGGGGGCAGAGTCATGTCAGAAATCCTGTAATGAGAAAGATGGAGGAAAAAATACAGATAAACCAACAGACCAACAGCCGACAGAAGATGACACAATCCTCCAGAGTCATCTACGTCACACTCCCCAGACCCGGGGCACACAGGCTCCCTGCCAACATGGCTCAGTAGCACACAATCCCAATTCATCTGCCTTCCACAGTCTATTTTTGGACACTCACCTCAATATTCAGCTCTGTAGAATCTAAGAGGTCCAGCCGGTGTTCACCAGGAGATGAGTAGCTACTTGGCTGCTAGACAGAATGGGGTCAAAAGTCAGAAAGATCTTTCCCCACTCCCATCACACTCCAAACACTAAGTTCCTTTTTCAGTCTCTTAACAACAAATGGGAGGGGATCACGGTAGGCACCTGCAGCACAGGTAGAGGCTGAGGAGGAAAGGAGCCTCCACAAGTGGCCTTCTAAGTGTCTGATATTAGCTCAGTTTTGGAACTAGTGAATGGGAACTTTAGGAAAGAAGATTTCAATAGAGACCTTGTTGCCTTATCTCTGGTTTGAAGAGCCAGTGTCTGTTTTCCCTTCCAAGCACGTGGCTTACATTCCCCTGACCTCAAATGTGAAGCAGTGAGCAGGGACTGACAGCAGCAGCCAGCAACGTTGAGTATAAAGGCCTTTTGCACTTTGTAAGGGGCTTTCACTTATGCTATTTTGTATACAAACTCCATTTTGCATATGGTGGGGGCTTCAAATATTTGCGGAAAAATTCCATTATCTTTCATAATTCCATTTCCCCTGGAACTTTTCAAGCCCCTGTGTATGATGAAATGGAAGTTGAGAGAAGTAGCTAACCTGACAAAATTTAAGTAAAAAAATTAAGACTGGCTGTCACTGAGTTGATTCAGACTCACAGTGACCCTGTGTAGGGTCTCTGAAGGAGCAGAAACTTCTCTCTTTCTCCAGAGTGGCTGCTGGCTTTGAACTGCCCATCTTGAGATTAGCAGTCCAATGCTTATCCTACACACCACCAGGGCTCCTTCCTCACTTGACAAAGTTAGCCAAGTGGTAAAATTAGGGACTCAAACTCAGGTCACCTAATGCCAAATTCCAGGTTTCTCTCATACTGGTAGAGCCCTGGAGTAGTGCTATAGGATCAGCAGTGGACTGCTAACTGTAAGGTTGGTAGTTCAAACCCACCAGCCGCTTTTAGAAACCCTACACAGGATCACTATGAGTCGGAAGTGATTTAATGGCACTTAACATGGAGTCCTGATATGGCGCTGTGGGCTAATGCACCAGACTGCAAAGCTGTTTGAACTGCAAGGTCAGTGGTTCAAGCTCACAAGCTGCTCCTCGGAAACCCTATAGAAGGTTCCTATGGGTCTGAATCGATTTGATGGCACTTAACAACAACAACAACAACAACATCATCATACTGGTAGACTTCCTTCTGGGGAAGCAAGCAGGCTCGGCAGAAAAAGAAGTGAGTAACCTGGAATTGGGGCAGCACTCAAAAAAGAGGAGGGAAAGTAGGTAGGGGAGCTAGGTGGGTGGATTTTTGTAGTGAAGAGACGTACTGAATGCGTTGCAAAATTGGATTAAACAGATGACTTTCTGTCTCTAACGCTAAGATTCCTTCCAACTCTTGCCGAGTTTGGGGAGTCCATAGTTAAGGAGTGGGGTGCCAGTCCAATTATTTTTGTTATTGGTTCTTTTCCTTATTTCTCAGACAAAAGTAAACAGCAAAGTCCAAAGCAACTCACAAATTTTGCTCCTTTGTTCTAATGCTTTCAAAATACCCTAAGCAGTTTTCAGAGACAAGGGCACCATCTTAACTGCCAAAAGAGACTCCTTCTAGTTTCTCTCTCTTCATCTGTCTCTCCTTCTGGAGGGAGAAGGGAATGTTGAGCTGCCTCACCTTGTCTGTAACTTGCCATTCTTCACTGGAGTTATCCTGAATTGCTAGTACGTCATCTTCTTCCTCTTCCATTAGGCGGAGTCTGATGGCAGTAGAAAGAGTACAGGTTTTCAAACTCTCTTTTCAGGAATGCTGAGAGTTCCTCAGAGGCACCTCAGGGGAGCAGGGGTGGGCAGAATCAGAGCACAGCCCTAGACTCCTACTCCTGATTTACTCAGAACAACTCAACTTATACCCACTAAACATCTCAGGGTCCCACACAGTACTAGAGGAAAATGTTCTGTGATTAAAACAAGTCCACAAATTCACTGGCCTACAAGTCCTGGATAAGGGGAGACCCCCTAAGGATGGGATGATACAGTGAAATGAAACTAGAGATAATAGGACCGCTCACCGGGTCAGCTGATTGTCCAGACCAGCACCTGAGGAACTGAGTGGAGAGTGGAAATGCTGTGGCCCTGTGCACCTAGGCCGTTGGGACTCTGAAAAGGGTGGGCTGTTGGGATTGAAGTTGGATCAGTGACAGGGATAAAACTACAGGATCAAATAAGAGGGTAGTATCAGTATCAAAGTAGAGAAATGCTTGAGTAGAGAGAGAGAAATTTGTTAAAAAGATGAAGAAAACTCAGAGAACTGAAGTGCTGCAGGAGGAACAACAGAAAAGAAACTGGAAGCTATAGCTGGGGCAAGACACTGATCTGGGAAGTCGAAGACCAGACTCTCTCCTTGGCCCTCACCCTTGAGCCAACTCCAATTCTGAGCTCTCTTCTTCTTCCACCTCTTCTAATGCCCTCAGGGGCAGCCTACTCTTCACAGCTGTAGAGGTGAGGGGAGGCGTGGGTGGGAGGCTGCTCAGCTGGAGGCTTTCATCTTGGGAGGAGGAGGTATCCTCGCCTTTCAGCCTGGAGAGGCCTGTAGAAGAGCAGACATGAAAATAATAAGGGGAAACCAGACACTTATTTTTTTCTAAGAACTGCCCAGAAGTCCTGATGTGGTGCTATAGGATAAGCACTGGACTGCTAGCTGCAAGGTTGGTGGTTCAAACCAACCAACTGCTCCTCAGAAACTCTATACAGGGTTGCTATGAGTTGGAACTGATTCGACAGCACTTAACAGTCCTCAATTTGGTAAGGGGAAGTTAAGAAAGGAGAGAATGAAAAATCTAATACGACCCCATTCTGTGACTCAAAAGTTAGAGAAAACTACTGCATAACACTTTGTACTAAAAGGTGAGGCATATAGACTTCATATCTAGATCTTGATAAAGAAAAGCTTACAATATAGCTTAGAAAGCAAGAGAGAGAGATTAACACACATTTCACAGATAAACAGTAACATCTGAACACACATGTGAAAAGGCTGGATTTCTGAAGATTGAGAGGTGAGAAAGGAAGTTAGCCTGAATCAATGAAGGAAAACATGTACGATGCATCCATCCACTGGAGATATTCCTGGTGAGAAAAAGCTTAGTTAGTGTGGAAGGATGAGGCCTAGGAAAGAACAGAAAAACCAGAGGATTTTCTAAAGGTTAGGAAAAAATAAAATGATTGTAATGTCTGTGAACTTTTGACATAAAGGGTAAATGGAGGTCCTGGGGCTCAAAATGTTTCAGGACCTTTCTACTCCATAGCTGAGAGCCATGGTGGCACGTTGATTAAGTGTTTGGTAAGCTCCATGGTTTGACTCTATCACTCACTCTGCACAGACGATGTGGCAGTTTGTTTGGTAAAGATTACAGCCTTGAAAACCCTCTGTCCTATTAGTGGGACTGAATCAGAACAGACTTGATGGCAACAGATTTGGCATTTTGGTCTCTTCTAGGAGTTCTGGTGTGGTGCTGTGTGTTAATGTGCTGGACTGCAACGTTGGTTTGAACCAAAAGGTGAGTGGTTCAAACTCACCAGCTGCTCCTCGGAAATCCTATATAGGGTCGCTATGGGTCAGAACCAACTCGACGGCACTTTACAACAACAAAAGAGTCCTGGTGTGGAGCTGTGGGATAAAGCACTGGACTGCGAGGCTGGTTTGAACTACATGGTCAGCAGTTCAAACACACCATCCACTTCTTGGAAACCCTACACAGGGTTGCTAAGAGTTGGCACCAACTCAAATGCACTTAACAAAAACTCAAGACGGTACAGGAGAGAGGATCCAAAGATGTCTGAAAAAATTCCTATAGTGCAATTTCAGAATGTATGTTAAGTATTTGTCAATTGTGAATCTGCATACCCCATTACCTTTCCTCCCCACAGCCATTATGTACACTGAAAGCTACTTAACTTAAAAGTGAGCTGTACTGGGTGAAGTAGGGAGAGCTGCAAATAACAAACAAAAGCGCCATGTGTAGGAGAGAGTTGGATACTCCGCCAGCAGATGGCAGGACTAACTTTAGGGAACCTAGTGCTCTGGGCAGACACAGGTATGGCAAGGTTTCAACACCTTGACCTCTCTCCTCTATGTGAGTGCCTTCCAAAATGACGTCCACAACAGACTGCATTTTAGAGCTCTGTCTCTAGCTGACACTTCTACTTTGATATATTTCTATCATCTTGAATTCGTCAAAGACAGCTTAACCTTTCTAACACTGGCTTCCCCGCCTGACTTTCCCTATCTCCATCCCTCCTTTAGTCTTTTAGTATAATATCATAGTCCCTTCTTCTCTCTGCACCTGGACCTTAATCACCGTATTAATTCTGCCAAGGCTAGACACAAGCTGCCCTTCCTATCCATCCTGGCTGAGGTATTCATTGTTATACGTTACCGCACTAGTAAACAAAGAGCTCTGTTGGTGCTGTGGGTCAGGCTCCCATCAAGATTTACTATGAGTAAAGGTCACTATGAGTCAGAATAGATTTGGCAGTGGGTTTGTTTTTGGGGGGCACATGTTACTATGATAACTTTAAAAAAAAAAAAAAAAAAACCTTTTATTGTGAATTGGTAAAGGTGTACAGAGCAGATCATCAGTTTTACCTTCCACAAATCACAACTTCTTTTAAAAAATGTTATTTTATTGTGTTTTCAGTGAAGGTTACATAGTAGTTTGTTGTTGCTGTTGTGTGCCATGGAGTGGGTTCCGACCCATAGTGGCCCTGTACAGGGTTTCCGAGGCTGTAAATCTTTACAGGAGCAGAATGCCTCATCTTTCTCCCACGGAACAGCTGGTAGTTTCGAACTGCTGACCTTGCGGTTCGCAGCCCGATTCGTAACCACTACGCTACCAGAGCTAGGTTCCCATTAAAACATTTCCACACAAGTTGTCTAGTGACACTGGTTACATTCTCCACAGTGTGTGGACATTCTAATTACTGGGGTTTTGGTGGTTCTGCTTCCATTACCCTAGGTTCCTGCTCCTCTACAGTTTCATCTTTGTAACTGAGTTTTTAACAGAGTACAGCACTTACAGGTGATATTTTGTCTGAAACAATCTGTGATTTAGCTACAAGGTGACCTCAGGGGTGCTTATTTCAGTTCAATGTTTAAAAAGCATCTCAGGGCAATAGTCTTGGGCAGTCCTCCAGTCTTAAACAATCCCATAGGTCTATTCTATTTTGGGTTTTAAAAGTAATTTTAGGTTCTGATTCCATGCTGTTCTCCCATTATTTTGGGGTCCCTCTATTGTGGCCCTGATTAGAATGATATGACGGTTTCTTAACTCACATTTCTACTTTCTATTTCTTTACCAGTTTTGCATCTTAAAACACTCTTTTCAGTATAATACGCCTCTGTTCATAAACTGCAAATGGTTAATCATCCTGCATAATGTTCAAATTTTTTTCATTTAAATGCTCTTCACATGTGGCTCCAACATAAACTGTGCTTGTCTTGATCACCAAATGACCTGTATTAGTATATAATAAATCCAACATTCAATTCTTAGTTCTCATCCTTTTTAAAGTAGTTTTTGAAACAATCACTCCTTTCTTTCGAAATGTCAGGCCAAAATTCTTGAAGACCTACATCCTACACCAACCTCTACAACGGCCTTCTCACTGGTTACCTTGCTTCTCTATCCTTGCCCTTCTAGTCAATTTTCAGCACATGTCAGAAGGACCCTTTTAAAATACAAGGGTCAAAACTCTCCACTTGTTTCTCACTTCATTCAGAGTAGTATAGACTCTGGGCCCCTGCTGTTGTTTTGATCTCATATCCTATGCACACTCTTTCATACACTGTGTTCTGGCCATACTGCTCCTCAACTGTGTCAGGCTTTAGTGCTCCATGACCATGGCAGGCACAGTCCCCTCATCACTGCTCCCGTTGTTATTCGATTTCACAACTCTCACTTCCTATTGGTTTTGCCTAACATCTATGTTCTAAGTGAGGTTTCTTTACCCTGATCTTTCTTGTTAAGACTGAGATCCACCTCCCCAGCCCCAAAGTATTCCTTCACCCTCTTTCCTGTTTTATTATTTTTTTAAACCATATTATTATCACTACTGGACACTCTCTAAATAATTTTTTTTTTCATTTTTGCTCATTGCTTTATTCCCAGAACATGGTATTCAATAAATATCTGTTGCTTGAGCAACTGAAACAATCACACTAATTGATCTTACCTTAACTTCTGCCTTCTTGGTAAAACTTTTCTATACAAAGCCAATTTAGAGCATCCCTTTCATTCCCTGAAGTCAACAGCCTTCATTGATACTTATCATTTACTGGTGAGTGTTAATAATTCATGACTTTGGATTAGGAAATGGTTTCTTAGATTTGACAAACCAAATGATGAGAAACAAAAGAAGAAAATATTAATTAAATCATATTCAAAATGAAAACTTTTGTTCTCCAAAGAACATCATCAAAAGTGAAAAAAAACCACAGAAGATAAATTTTGCAAATACATATCTGATAAGAGATTTGTGTCTAGAATATAAGGATGTCTTACAGCTTAACAAGACAAATTATCCAGTTTAAAACTGAGCAAAGCACTTTGACATTTCTCCAATGATGCTATACAAAAGGGTTATAAACACATGAAAAGATGCTGAACATTATTAGTCACTGTTGTCAGTACTGTTGATCAATTCCAACTCATAGCCACCTTACGCACAACACAGGGGGACACTGCCCAGTCCTGTGTCAGCCTCAAAATCATGATTACACTTGAGCTTACTGCTGCTGGCACTGAGTCAATCCATCTTGTTGGGGGTCTTCCTCTTCTTCACTGACCCTCTCTTTACAAAGCATGATGTCCTTTTCCAGTGACAGGTCCCTCCAGATCACATGTCCAAAACATGGGAGACAAAGTGTGCCATTCTGGCTTCTAAGGAGCATTCTGGATGTCCTTTACCAACTGAATCTGTTTGTTCTTTTGGCAGTTCGCAGTACTATTCCTATTCTTCTTCAATATAATAACACAAATGCATCAATTCTTCTATGGTCTTCCTTATTCACTGTCCAACTTTCACATGCATATGAGGCTACTGAAAATACCATGGCTTGGGTCAGGTGTACCTAATCCTCAAAGTAATATTTTTGCTCTTCAACACTGTGCAGATTTGCCTGGTGTAATACGTCGTTTGAGTTCTTGACTGCTGCTTCTATGAGTATTGATAGTGGAGCTAAGCAAAATAGTCTTTAACAACTTCAATCTTTTCTCCATTTATACAGATGTTATTTATCAGTCCAGTGGTGAGGATCCTTGTTTTCTTTACACTGAGGTGCAACCCATACTAAAGCCTGTAGTCTATGATCTTCATCAGTAAGTATTTTAAGTTGTCTTTGGTTTCAGCAAGCAAGGTTGTATCATCTGAATATTGCAGGGTTTTAATGAGTCTTCTTGTAATTCTGATGCCATGTTCTTCTTCATATAATCTAGTTTCTTGGATTATTTGCTCAGCATACAGATTGAATAAGTATAGTGAAAGAATAAAACCCTGGCACACACCTTTCCTAATTTTAAATCATTCAAT